GGCTAGATTACCGTGGTATTTGGAGCGGTCACACTACTGAGTTGGGGGAAGGTCACAGAAACACCGAAGTCGAAGGAAGAATCATAGCTACGCTTGGAGGAGAGGTGAGTTATCGCGCTGGCTTGTAGCCAGCACGCCCTCGCCTACTCATGTCTTTAGGGGACGTATGAATGAAGAGCCTCACTGGAATATCTTGATTCCAACGACGTAGGTGGTACAAATAGTCCCTTGGCCGTAATTTCTTTTGGTATATCTATGACCAACCGGGTGCGTTATGCATCATCTAGCATGTCTCCGTTCGATGATTACTTACACAAAAACAGAGGGCCTTGCAATGTAGCCTACTGATCATGTAATGTAGAGTCATCGATCGACAAACCAGCCAAATCAGCGTAACGTTCAACAGGTCAGACTCGGATATCAAGATCTCCGAATAATGTGATTACAATGACTTTCGTTTGTCCCGTTCTCATTGAAAGAGATCCGTTAAGCTGTCAAGGAATTCGATGCGAGGGAAATAGAGAGCCGATGTTTCAAATATCTGTTTTTATAAGAACCATTTTGATGGGTGTGGCAAATTTTCCCACCCAGTTTATCGTCGAATTACAAATCGAAAATAAAAATAAAAAATCGAAGTCGCAGCGTTGGTATGGCCCATGCACTAGTAATCGTTTCACCTACTGTCGAAGCCAACCGGCTGTTGGCTTTAATACAGAACTTGAAACACCTCTTAGTTGTGTTAACTCTGGAGGCTTGTAATGTGGGTCACCCTAGGGAAAGAGTCACAGAACAAAGCCGTCCTCACAGGAACACATGCTCACATACTCTGTAGATGCTAGCATAAATATCTGCGTTGACATAAACCGTATGTGTTGCTGTTGTAGGTAAATTGAATACTATAGCAAATGAAGGGCTATGCCTAAATGAAAGTGATTCGTCGGGACGCGATGAATCGCGAGTGTGCAAATAGCGCAAGCGGAGAGAGCGGAGGCAGGGGGAGCGGCGGAAAGCGGTGGTATGTACAATCGACAGTATGGAACTCGCGGCATGTCTTATACCCTCACCAAAGTCACTGGGATAGATCTCTGGTGGAGTTGCCACAATGATCAACTTGTTTCTTATATACATGTTGTGGTGCATGCGTGTGTTGCGTGTGTGTTTCGTGTGCGTGTGCGTGATGCGTGTCGTTGCGATGTGCGTGTGCGGTGACGTGACGTTTTGCGTGTGCGTGTGTCGTTCTTGTGTTGTGCGCGTGCGTGCGTGCTGTTTGCGTGCGGTTGCGTGCTGTGCGTGTGTGTTGGTTGTGATGTGTCGCCGCAGCTCACAGTTGCTGGCAGCATTGGCGGCGCCGCGTTACGTAATTCGCATATACTTTCGTCATTCACCAATAGGAACATATCGAATGGGTCGATCCCATCAGTCGAATCCACACGGCGCTGTACGCGTTCGTACGTGGACGCTTGTTTTATAATACTCATCCGTTTATTACTTTCCAACCATATTCTTTTGAATTCATGCGATGATGGCGCCTTCGTGTTATCGTATGTGCCAGGTGAATGGTATGTTATTTTCTCCGCTGCGCCACCTGGATTGCATGATAGGTATGTAAAAAATTCGACAAACCTTGGTGGACCTTGTATGATGAAATCTTTTATGATCCTCCCTGTGTTGTCAAGCTTCGCAGTTGTCCATAGATTGGCGCCCAGCGTTTTACGCTGTTTGCGTGTACCGCGCATTTCCCGGCCTCTGCGAGGCAGCTCCGCGAGCACGATCGCGTGTCCGCCGCGGCATGCTGCGTGCCGCCTTGCGTTGTGTTTGCCGCTGCGCGTGCGTGCGTGCGTGCGTGCGTGTTTGTGTGCATGCGGTTTTTGATTGATTGATTTGTATATATTTTATTTTTCGTATTTCTTTTCACTTTTTTTACTATCAGTAGGTCCGTAATCATGGCTGCTACAGCTTTTCGCGTATTCTAAGACTGACGTTTGTGTCACACACAGTGACACTTGTGTTAGCGGCCACCTCTATATAAAGGCCACCTGTCCGCAACGGCCACTTTTGCTGTTTTTCTTGACTGGGAACAGTTGTACAGTGAAACCACATCTATGGAAATACCACCTGTTTGTAAGGGCCACAGTTTGCATTTTCCTTTTAGTGGCTGTTATATACAGGTTCGACTATATATGGTGTCAAAGTGGTTCTTTCACCGAGAAAATGCCATTTTCCATGAAGGCGTTCTGTGGTTCAGGCAAATTTGCTCCCAAACTCAGCCGATCCTTTTTGGATAAGCACAGCAGACGTTCGATAGTCGGGCCTGGACCGGAGGCATCGCTAACTAGTGAGACGACAAACGCATTCGAACACCTAAGCGTTTTCGCTGCCGTTGTAATTCCTGTCGGAGTAAAAAACAGTATCGGTTAAAGCAGTGAAAAAACAACGTCGCGGTGGGTAGGTGGGTGGTAGTCGTGTGTGTGTAGCAGAGACCGCGAGCAGCAGTAGCGACTTGGAAGCTGCGCTATCGAGTTTCGACTTACCTCGGCTTGCAGTCTGGATTCATCGTCTGCTAACCTCGTTTGTCGTTAGGCAGCGGCCGGCGGGGATTGTCGATTGCAGTCTAATTGAGTCGGAGACACAGATGTGAGAAAGCCAAGGTTGACACGTGTAGGTTTCGCTTCTCGGGAACCCTTAAATTATTTCTTGTTTGTCCTAATCCGGAAACAAAGGTTGGGAAGTAAATTATTTTGAAAATATATAAGGGGAAAATGGCTTCTCGTGTGTTTTTGTGTGGGTATTATGAGCCCAATATGCTCGTAGTGAGTGTTTTAAACGTCGTTTTTGTTGTCGTTGTGTCCATCCACGCCTGAAAAATGCTCGGGCGGGTTAAGTGCAAGCAAGAAATCTTTTGAGCGTGACCTATTTAGCATCAATTCCCTTATTGCTGCTGCTGCTGCTTCTGTTGCTACTGCTGCTACTACTACTGTTGCTACTGCTGCTGCTTCTGCCGCTGCTGCCGCCGCTACTGCTGGTGTTGCTCAAGCGCGTAGCCAGGTGGGGGGGGGCTCCTGGGGGCCCTGGGACCACCCAATCAAAAAAAAAATAAAAAAAAAAAATCTATTTTCTTTTTCTCTTAAAAGCGCGTAGCTGGCCTAATCCTGGCCTCGTTAAAAAAATTACAATTACAATTTTAATTATCAGATAGGCCTTATATATTGTCAACAAAGCAGCAGAATTATCTGGAGTTGCCAACGACGTAGGTGGGTACAAATGAGTCCTTGGCGTAATTTTTTGGTATTTATTGCAACGGGTGCGTTATGCAGTCGTCTGCATGTGTCTGCCGTTCGTGATATAACAAAATAGCAAGGAGGGCCTTTATAGTGTAGGCCTACGTATTCAGAATGTAGAGTCACGATCAGAAACGCAGCCAAAGTCTAGCGTAAGGGTCAAAGGTCAGACTCGGATATAAATATCCCGAATATGTGAATTTACAATGACGTTTCGTTTTCGTGTCCTTATTGAAATGAGTATCCTTTTAGCTGTCAAGGAATTCGAGCGGGAAATTGAGAGGCGAGTGTTCAAATATCTGTTTTTATTAAGAACCATTTTGATGGGAAATTTCTCCCCACCCAGTTTACCGGTCGAATTACAAATCAAAAATGAAATGATAAAATATCGAAGTCGCAGCGTTGGTATGCCATGCATCTAGTAATCGGCACCACTGTCGGAAGCCAACGTGCTGTGGCTGTAGATACAGAACTTGAAACCCGCTTGTGTGTTTAACCTGGATGGCTTGTAGATGTGGGTCACCAGGGAAAGTAGGCACAAACAATAGTGCGCCTGAAGGAGAACATGTGTGCACACATGTACGTGTAGATGGCTGAGCATAATATCGCGTTGACATAAACCGTAGTGGTTGCTGTTGTAGGTAATGAATCCGTATAGCAAATGAAGGGCTATGCAAATGAAGGTGATTGCGACGAGATGGGAGATCGCGAGTGTGCAATAGCGCAAGGGGAGAGAGCGGGAGGCAGGGGGGAGGGGGAAGGTCGGTGGTATGTAGCAGATCGAAGAGGGGGAATCTCGCGGCATGTCTGTATATCACCAAAGTGCACTTGGATATATCCTGGTGGAAGTTGCCCACAATGAGCAACTTTTCTTTATATACATGTGTGTGTGTGCGTGTGCGTGTGTGTGTGCGTGTGTGTGTGCGTGTGCGTGTGCGTGTGCGTGTGCGTGTTGTGGTGCGCGTACGTGCGTGCGTGCGTGCGTGCTGGTGTGTGTGTGCGTGCGGTGGTTTGTGTTGGGTGGTTGTGTGTTTGTTGTGTGCGGCGCGCGCTCAACTTTGTGTCAACTGCGTGCGGCGCGTTTACTGGTAATTCGCATATATTCGTACATTCCCAATAGACATCTGATCGAATGGTGTCGAGTCCACTCGAATCCACAAGGGCGCCGTTTATCGCGCGTCTTTCGTATCGGTGTGCGCGCCTTTTTTTTTATAAGTACACCGATCTGTTTTAGAACTTGTCTGAAAGATGATGTCGTCTTGATTGGCTGATGTTCCCTCGTATCGTAGCAGTTAAATGTAAGTTATTGTGTCCGCGTCCGCAACTGGTTCATGGAGATTGTGTAACAAATTGACAATTCACTTTGTGTCGACCTTTTGTATGTCGCCATTTTTGACC